TAACGTAATCGTCAACCGAGCGAGCCACGCAAGCGAGCGAGCCACCACCCCCTGAATCCTCCCACCTCCAAGAACTGAAGTAATTCAGCGGTCAATTACACCACCAAAAATGCCGAAATCATCAAAAGACTTATTGTACCAAGAGAGCCGAATCTGCCTTGCCCTTGAAGCTATAAAGACCGGTCAAGTTGCCTCAATTCGTAAAGCTGCTGACGTTTTTGATGTTCCTCGCTCAACTCTTCAACACCGTGCAAATGGCCGTTCATTTCGTCAAGAAACTCGCCCTAATTCTCATAAACTTACTGCGAGAGAGGAAGAAATACTTAAGAAGTAGATTCTCTCGCTTGACGCCCGCGGCGCACCTCTAAGAAACTCCGCAGTTCGTGAGATGGCCAATATATTGCTTCAAAAGCATAGAAATCAGAAGAGACCGATAACCGTGGGAGAGAGATGGGTTACAAACTTTATTGCACGCCATAAAGCCTTAAAAGGTCGTTATTTCCGCCAGCTAGATGCCAAACGGGCGAAGTGCGAGAATCCACGGGTTATACAGGCCTGGTTCAACCGCGTTCAAGAGGCTATATCAGAATACGGAATCCTTGAAGAAGACGTCTTCAACTTTGATAAAACCGGCTTTATGATGGGCCAAGTTGCAACAGCCAAAATTGTTACTCAATCAAACTGTCCAGGAAGACCTTTTCTCACACAGCCAGGTAACCGCGAATAGGTGACTTCAATCGAGTGTATCAACGCCGCCGGCTGGGTGTTGAAGCCGTACTTGATTCTTAAAGAAACAAACTATATAGCAAGCTGGTATAAAGCCTCAATTCCGGGCGATTGGAGAATCAATACATCTCCAAATGGCTGGACAAGCAATGAAATCGGCTTACATTAGCTTGAACATCACTTTATTCCATCAATAATCAACCGACGAATTGGCAAATACACCCTGTTAATTCTTAATAGCCATGAATCGCATTTAACACCTAAATTTAACAACTTATATTATACCAATCATATTATTCCTATCTGCATGCCTCCTGGTTCATCGCACCTCTGCCAGCCGTTGGATGTCTCTTATTTTGCACCTCTTAAGAAGGCATATTACGGTTTGGTGGAACGCCTTGCACGTGCCCGATATTTAAAGATTAATAAAGGCGATTTCTTAGAGAAGTATCCAAAGGCCCATACTATGGCGTTCAAGGAAGCCAATATACGGAGTGCCTTTAAAGCTTCAGACTTAGTTCCGTACGATCCAAACCAGATGCTTGACAAGCTGATTTATAAGAATTTTGATAGCCGGCCAAGCAGCCAAGACTCTCGGTCAACAATCTCAAAGACGCCTGTTAATACAAATCAGTTTAAGAAGCAAGAGGCAAGGCTTGAACAACTGCTTAGTAGTGTAGCTGATACACCAATGAAGTCAGCCTTGGACTACGTCTTCAAAGGCGCTGAGATGGCGTTAAACCGGGCGGTTTTGTTGGAACAGGAAGTTCGAGAACTCCGCTGGGCAAATGAGAGGTTAAACACCAAGAAACGACGAAGAAATAAGCAGCTTACAGGCCTTAACGGCTTCACTGTTAACGAAGCAAGGGAGGCATTCCAACGCGAGTATAAAAAAAATAAAGCCCTTCAGATTAAGGATCAGAATCAGCCTCGCCGCCGGGCACCTCCCAGATGCAGCGAGTGCGGTGTTCAAGGACATATACGTACGAGGTGTCCAAATCGAAGAACTGTGTAAAAAGACATTCAAAATGGTGTAATTGAGGCTTCAAAACACCATATATTTATATACAAATCAAAAATCCATGTTGGTGCTGCATTTGGTGGATCTGCTGGCTCGCTCGCTTGCGTGGCTCGCTCGGTTGACGATTACG